AACCTACGTCACATATTCGTGAATGTCGATCGTAGATTTAAGCGCGTGAATATTCCTTTTTTTCTATCAATTTTTGGGTAAATATTAAATCTAAAATTCGCGATTTTTCGCCGTCTATCCTTTTTATGTCTTGAGAAGAATCGTGACAACTTTAGGAAGCCTATTGGGCACGCGTGAAACGGACATTTTCTTCTAAGATAATTTGCAGCGAGTAGAACGGCCGACTCATGCTCTTCTAACTCTCTTTCTAAAACACCGCGCCTGGCCATGACACACATAGCAGCCAGCCTTTCGCATCCTCTCTCGGGAACGTCCAAACAACCTAAACCCATAACTCACGAGGGATCTGCTGCCTTGTCTTCGGAGGGAACCCGCTATTTTCTCACGTCTCGAAAATAGCTACTTTTATCGTCGTGCACAAAGGGCCGGCTGATCGACTCGATCTGAGTTTGCATCGCGAATAAAAATGAAAATCTATTTAAGTCCAAGATTTGAGCAAACCAGAAATAGAAAAAAATTAGAAAGAATTAGAATTGGAATTACTCCGTTATTCCGTTAGTGATAACGGCGCGTGCGGAATAATATATTCACCGATACACGAGTTGACTAATCCGTGTTGCGAGTTGCGGGCATAAAAATAGAACGTGCATTTAATTTTACCGTTCCAACGTTCTGACGTAACAGAATCGACATTGGCTGCGTAGGAAGGAAAGCTGGTGCACGACTTTCGACGCATTGCCGCAATGTAACGGACGAAGGTTCTCGCATTCCTCTTGTGCAACGATTTTCGGCGCTGGAAGGTCTCGTGACGGCGTGACAGTAGAATGCCGCGGCAAGGCTAAATTACGTCTAATCGCTTCTAAGAATCTGCCAGCCGAATGAGCGGCTTCTTTTTTAAATGGCATATGTAATGGCAACTCGCGTGCATGCGAGAGTGTTGAAAAATTATTCGATGTAATCATAGTAATAATCATCGATTGAATTTAAATACGAAAAGTTTACAAATATTTTTTAAATTTTGCAAAAAATAATTAAATATCAAAAAATTATTTATACCCACAAATATTGTATATATAGTCTCGCGATATATATTTGATAAGAAATACTGGAACTTCTGACACATGACACATTTCCGGAGTTAACAAATAGCTTTCCGTGAGAATAAAAAAAATATCTAAGAGTATATCCCTCCAGTTATATTGGCGATAGCGATTTCTATATAATCTCGTATTTTCTCGCAATCATTGATAAATGTTTGCCTCCATCGAGCAAATCCTCCGTGCTTTCCACGGACGATGTGAAATCATCATCCATCCAAACGTCGCCGCAGGCACGTCGCGCGTCGCCGCGAAGGCGCACGTGGAATTAATACTCGGAAATGACGAATTAATGTTTAAGCGAGTCGCCGCTTGCATGAGCTTCCTCGCCGTAGTTCGTTGCACGCCTGACTGAAACTTTTACGAGGCACGCGCGCGAAATTGCAGAAGGGTTGCGAGGTCTTCCTGCAAGGAGAGTTAGAATAAAAGGAGCAGACGGGGAGGGAGGGAGCAAAAGGAGAAATAATCGGCCAAGGGAAGACGAGGGCCGGCCGGCCGGCCGGCGCGGCGACGACGTGCACCTGTGTGTGAACCCGCACGTGTCCGATGCAACTGCACTACCCCTATCCTCCCCCCTCCCTCCCTCGCATGAGGTTTCATTCATAATTCAACGGGGCGAATTAGACGAGCGAGGGACGCGAGTTCTCTCGCGTGTCTCGTCGTCTCCGTTGCATGAAGGGCACAGGTAGCGAGAGAGCGAATTAAGCAACATTGAGCATTCTCCTCTTCGACAGAATGAATTGAGCGAGAGACACGTTAGCCGCCCCCCCCCCCCCCCCGAGAGGACGCTTTCACTTTCCGCGTCATTTCGTACGTCGATCAGCTATTTCTCCATTTTTTTTTACTGCTTACGAACGGTCACCGGGCTCTCGCCCGGTAATTGGTGTGCCATAACTGCGCAAGTAATGAATTCACGATAGCAGAAGCATAAATAAGCGACTATAATGTCGTTGCAAGCGTTGCAGAACAATCGAGGACTGGGAGAATGAAATGATAATGATTTTTGTTCCGAGCGAGACGCTTTATCGAACGTCATCGTACCATCGAGCGCGTATGTCTTTCGCATCGAATAAATTTGATTAATGATTCTTATGGCATAATCATACAAAATTCAGAAATTTCTTTTGAATAAAATAAAATAAAATTTTTCTTTCAAACATAAAATAATCACGCGATATTAAGCAATATTGATCAGCCATTTCATAAAGCTCGTACTCGTAATAGAAAGTCGAGAGAGCATTCTGGAAGTAGCATTCTGGAATTTAAGAGAAAGTACTGTGTATGTTAGGGAAAGAAAACGTAAAAGAAAAATTAAGTACAATCTGACTATGCTTTTGTGGGATGCTTTCGAAGTCTTTTCGTGTGGCTTTATTTCACTGATCTTATGTAACTTTCATTTGCCGATATACGATCGTTTTTCAGCAATAAATGCAATCAGCGGCAAGATCAAACGTCAAATGACTTACAAAAGGAATATAGAGTAGTTGTATTTTCTTCAAATAATCGAAGTATTATTTCGAAAGATAATTTCACCAGAGGTTTTTATCTTCGACGGTTAAACACTTTTTATGCCGAATCATTAATTTATACGTGTCTAATATAAACAGCAAATCTAACTACAGCACGTACGAGAAGATTAAGATGCCGTTTCGCGGGCAGAGAGTAATAAAAAGTGATTCTAATTCGAGACCGCTTGAGAAGATTCCATAAAATTCAAATCTACGGACACGGGAGGTCCCTCGCAAGTCGGTTTTTTTTCTTTCGCCAAATAACTTGCGCAATAGCACCGCGAGACGTCGTATAAATTCTATGCCGAGGCTCAATGATATATCCGAACAGCGAAGCGAAGTTTCTAACGACTTTTCGTACAGGATCTAACAAAAAGTAATGCTTTAACGGTGGACTCTTGGTGAGCATAACTGTACTCCCGATAGAATAACTCAACAATGCGGCGGTCACGATTTTTCTCATCGCGCGGCCATTTCTCTCACCGCATTCCTTCGCACACGACTAGAGCTTCAAAGAGCTCTGGCTACACTTGCAACAGTCACACCTACATTAGCGCAATAGAGTGTACCCCACTTTTCAATAGAGTTTCACCCTACTTTTCTTTATAATATGCCCTTTCAGAGATTCGCGTCTCTGCGTCTGTGTGATCCACATGCTTTTTGAATAATTTAAGAGCGGCAATAAAATCCTCTTGTTCCAATGTCATCTCGCATTCATGACGTAATAATCTGGCGTAATAATCTGATTTTTTTTTACGACACGTTTTGAGTATCTTTGAGAATCTCCGAGTAAGCTGAAAGTGCAAAGGAAGGCTTTCGAGACGACCGCATGGGCGCCTCGAACTTTAGTACATTAATAAATAGCTTCTCCGCCTATCAGCGGACTTCTTTCACTCTTCCTTGAGCACGTTTAACATGCACGGATCGCCTCCCCCGTCCTTCCCGTTTCTTTGCCCGTTCTCCTCTACGGGCTTAATGTCAATAACCGTTGCATTAGTTGACGCTTCGTTACTTTCTTTGCGGCGGGCGAGCGAGCGGGCGATTAAAAATGGTCGGGGTGTCATCCGCGGTGGCACACGGTCGCCGCGACGCCGACGTTAATACCGACGTCCACACACGTTGGTGTTGGTGGCCGGCGTCCGTCGCGCCTGTTTCACGTGGCGTCGTCGTAGCGTCACGCTCGGTGATTTGCTCGCCGGAGCAAAAGATGTTCCCAGTGGCTGCACCGTCGCCTGCATCCTCTTTGTACACTTTGTTCACACCGTGAAGGCAAGTCGTAAGGCATCATCTCGTCCCGGGGCACGGACGGGGAGGCCCACGGGTAAATCCACGTACGTTCACGTACGGCGTCGTCGCTCTCTAGCTCTTTCTGCACGTTAGAGCGTCGCCGAAGCGGAGACTGACGTACACGTGGACGAAAAAAGATCTACACGAAAACCGTTCCGAAAACCGTCGTATTTTATCTCTCGGCTATGAATTCTTTGACCAGTCGGGAATCGATTTTCCTTCCCTCTTTGAAAATTAAGAAATTGCATGAGAAGAAAGATTTTTATTCGTTTTAAATCCGTTAAAAAAAAATCGTTAGGGGGAACATGGAATAGTTTGGGAGAGCGTCAGACGGCGCCTTACGGCGCGCATAGCGAGCTTCTTTTTTTACGATGCACCGTTTTATCTCTCGCCGAGAGATGACTCGGGGAGAAGCGGTAGGAGAAATGGTACAAGCATGAGAGGAACGCGGCAGTTGCAACATCCGTGGTCAGGCCCCACGTGCAGCCGATGATGCAACGTCCATGCATTTTGTAACTCCGGAGCCAGAAGGCCTTCCTTCTTCTTGCCCGGCATATTGGACCAGATAAAGTCTATCGGATCGAAAGCGCTTCTGTCTGGCAGAGCGTTGGGCAATATATAAATTGCCCAATTATATTCTGGCCTGCCGGCCAAACAGCGTGCACAAAAACTAATTTTCGCATAGTACGTGCGAAGAAATTTGTCATTCGCACTCATGTATATTTTGGCGATGAATCAAAATACACGTGGTACGAAAGCGCTCGCGCGCACGAGGTTCAACAAACCTGCAAGGTTTTACTCGAATGGTGCCCGTTCACTTGTTACATCATCCTTGATTTCACGCGTCAATAGACTTATCTGTTACCGGCCAAGGTTTTTGGAATCTGACGTTCCCTGTCAACATGTCGGATCGATGGTTCGCGAATAACTTATTGGAATTATCGCGCGAGCTGGGTAAAATAATTTCGCGCGTAAGCGCTAAGCTGCGCGTGTATCATTTCATTAAGTCAACCGAATCGGATTTCGGCCAATTAAAATCGCAATCACGCCGCTCGCGTTAAGTACGGACGATATGTCTCGCGATGCAAAAACAATGGATGGCACTCACCGCCGCCGACAGTAGAGACAGTGCTGGCCTTGTGGATCTTCATGTTCCACATAGCGGGCGTGGTGGGCGCGGCGGGGCTCTGATCGGGAGTCGGCGGATGAGCCGCCGGCATCGGCACCATCGTCGGGCCCAGCTGTGCCCCGTGCGGCAGATGATCCGAGTTCGGCCTATACGAACCCGCGTCAAACCTTCGTGCGGGAAAAATCTCGTCATCCCGCTTCGACAATCTTTCCGCCAACTTCTCCGTTCTCTCCCGATCGGCCAACTCCACTGGCTCCTGTTTTATTCGAAGATCTGCGAACACGAGACCAAGATCTACGTCTGCGGGACTGATCGGCGACGGGATCTTTCGACCGATTTTTACGATCGGTTTCATCGTTGTAGGTCAATCTCACCTTCGGCAACGCTTTCCTTGAGATCACAGTTGCTGCGTTCCTCGGACCGCGCCCGTTCCAGCTGCTGTTCCAGTTCCGTGGGCGTATGTGGCGCGGTGTGGGGATGCAAAGAAGTTTCGGAGGGATAGGTGAACGGTTGGTAGAGGTGGTTCTCCAGCAAGTGTGGTTGCGGGGCGGACGCTGGCCGAAAAGCAGCGCCGTCACGCAACACGCTCGCTCTTCGCTCGCTATCGATGTCGCTCGGCGACCTAAAAATACGTCGTCACCGCTCACAGAATCTTATTATGCAAGTGAATTGGCAAGAACACGTAAAACGGCGTGACTATTTGGTAAACACGTAAATTGTTAAACGAGTAATACGGTAAAGAGGAAGCGCGAAGGAAATCGAATCCGGAAATCGACATGGCGCAATGTGGGGAGAGTGAAAGAATGTCCAAGACATTCTTCATATGATAAAGCTCATTGCAAAATTATATGCTTTTAATTCACGTAATATTCCGACTAAGATGGAAATCCGAAAAAATTCTAAAAATAGTTGCTTCATCAAAATAATCGTTTCTTCATCACGAATAATTTATCGCTTTGCCGTTCGCGCGAATTATTGTTACATATGTCATCGGCAATAAAACGTAGAAAGGCCGCTTCGGCAGTAAAACGTGGAAAGGCCGCTTGCGGCCGTCGCGCTTCCCGTAAAAGTGCTTCGCGCCTCGGCGAAAGGTCCTTACCTCATCAGCCTCTTCGGCGGACTCTCGAAATAGTGAGACGTGGAGTAAGCCCCGCTAGGCACGGGGTACTCCGGGGCGGGCGACGGCACCGGTGTGTAAGTCCTCTTCATGATATTCCTGACCATGGTGGCTTCGCCCGCCTCGCTTATATCGCTCATATCACCGACGCCGCCACCGCCGCCCCCGTTGCCGATGGTACCACCGACGCTACCGCTGCCGACGCTACCCCCGACGCTACCGCCGCCTTCGCCACTTCCGCCGCCTTCGCCGCCCCCGCCTCGGCCGCTACTCTCTGCGTCCGCAGAGGTGTTGGTACTCTCCGCGGCGTGCCTCTGCGCCACCGCCAGCTTCTCGTGCTCGATGATCGACAAACCCTTTACCTGGATTCAGGGAGACAATTATAGACAAATGAATATATTTTAGGAATATGTTGTGTAAGAAAATATCAAAAGGGTATTGTATAACGATGCAAAAAAATATTATGAGCGCTAAAATAATTTAAGAGAAAGTGTTATTTCACAAGTGCGCATAAGTATTATGGATTATGTTAATGAACATCCGCGTAACTGACGTCAGCGGTAATTTTGCTCCGTGTATATTTATTAATCAAACAAAATCGCGCCTTTTTTTCAGTAAATATTTGAAAATATTGAATCGAAGCACGCGATACAGAGCTCAATGGGCGACAACGCATTTTCGAGGAGAGCTTGACAAATGATTTGACTCCTCTCGGAGCTTCCACGACACAAATTGACACGTAGAGACTTTAGCCAGGCGCGTTTCAGAGCCGTGTCGGGCGCCGCGCCACGTGTACAATTATTCGGGGAACATTATTTAAGGTCATTATTTACGGAAAAAGAGACAGGCACGTACTTGAAGGCATTCAGCTGCCTTGAGGAAGGAGCTGAGGGATTCCTGGGACACATGTACCTCTCCACGGTACATGAATTCGAGGAGGGACGCCATATTGTGGGCACTCGTCCCATCGAGAATAACGATCAATCCCGCGGGAGAAGGCGGCATTCCTTCGAAGAGCTCCTGAAAGTGCTTGCTGCATGCTGCGAGGATTAACCTGTGCGCCTTGAACGTAACTCCTGAAACACAAATAGGATGCATCGTCTTCAAAATATAATCGATATAAGCGAATTATACAGACATGTACTCTGTACGACCAAACAAAGTTATTATCAAAAGAAAACGTTCGACGAGTCAGAAACAATCAGTGGATCGTCCATTTTCTCTCTCTAAGCTCTATTAGTATCGCAAGATTAGCATGCCGAGAATTTTTCGGTGCACGCACAAGACGCTCTCGGGCCTTTTCTTTCTCACGACTTACAATGTAAACGGGCATCATCGCGCGGCGGACGAGCGCGGGAATTTCAGCGCGCAAAGGAAGCCGGTGACCGACGAACCCTTTTTTTTTCAACCGGCCCACCATTTCCCTCTCTACGACATAAAGGAACCGAAGCCTAGCACGCCTGACGTCGATGCCCTTTCTCGCAGCCCGTTGCGTATGTAGGTCATCTTCGGACACGATCTTCCGTAATTCGTAATTCACGCGCGCAAGTATAATATAATGCGCGTTCGCCAACGCGCGGGCGTGTAATGTGACACGGGCGACCGTTGCATGTAAAGCGAACTAGTGTCCAGGAACGACTGCGCGTAAAAAGGAAGAGAAAAAACCGTTGCCGTAACCGACCGTTGAAGCCTCCGCGATGTAGCTAAACTGCATCCCAGAAAAAATATCTTTAAAAGAAACCCTCTTTGCATTAATGTTTATGTAGCTTGATCTGAAACATCGATATGATTTATTCAAATCCCTTTGAGGCCGATTTAATTTTAGACAAAAATTAGCTGCATACATGAATGTATATATGTTTTCGGTTATCGGTAGCTATTCGCGTCCGCGCGTTACCTCTTTCCGCGCCTCATTATTTCCGTGACGAGTCCGTGCGAATCAGGTGAAACGGGACATTTCGTGAAAGAGCTTCGTTGCGTTTAGACGGATGTGGGAAGAAGCCTCATCGGCGGCGCTCCTCCTAGGCACTATAGGAATAAGGAAATCAAGTGCGAGAGGAGAAAGGAGGAAGGTGACGAGGGCACGACCAGGTGGTTCAAAGCACCTGTCTTTCCGAGTAGCTCTCCCCGGTACACAAAGTGTATCCAACTCTTTGAGCCTCCTCTCAGCGCGGGATCATATTTCCGTGTGCTCCCCGTTGAGCGCAATTTCAAACCTCTTATCCGACGAATATTGGATTTACCGCGTATATCCAACAGTGCACAGTAGCAGAGCTTAGATTCAACGACTCTGCGATGATTCGCGTTCACCCGCGGTGCTCGTCGGAATACGTATTCGCGTCGTCAACTTGTCTCGTGTATAATAATGACAGTGTCTCTTTGCCTACAAATATCTTATTTCGATTGACAATTCTCTGCACACAGAAAAAGAAGAAGTGTCAAATCAAAACTTATATACTGAAATTAATTATTCATTGTTTTGTATATACACAACAATCTATAATCTTATAAGAATTTCAACTTTTTTTCTTGGTTGAACTATATAAAATGACATCATTTAAGCAAGTTTTCTCCACTTAACGCATTATAATCTTATTTCTAGATTTCCATGTTGAAACTAAAGATATTTTCAACTCAAGAATATTCTTTTTTTTTCTGTGGACTATCGCGTTATTTTAGTCGCTGTATATTAATAATCTCGCTGCTTATAAGTTGACTAATATAAGATAGGCGCGTTACAGATATTTGGGCCAGATATATAGCTTATTATTCGCTATGCAAGGGCCAACGGCCGAATTGCGTGTACTTGTGTGTGGGCGTTTCGCGATTGTCGGCTTACTCCATCGCCTATGTCGACATTCATAGGTGGAATCCGGATATACGGGCACGATATGCCGTACGCGTAACGAGAGCGAGAGAAATAAACGCGAAAGAGATTCTCCCACTTCGCCGGATTAAGAATAACAAATTTGTAGTTTCGCGAGAATTCAAAAATTCGTCGTATCGCGGAGAGATGTGCACGATTCCCTGCGGGGGCCCGTACATCCGCAAAGTACGTTCCGAGACGCGCGTGGAACGGCCGGACGGCAGCGCAGTTCGCCGGCACACTTGTGGAAATAATGAAATATGCAGAACTCATCGGCGTATGTTAGTCTCGGGACTATTAATAAATTCTGTAATGCGTCGCGTCGCGTCGCGTGATAGCAGGCCCACGAGAGATGCTTCTCACGCCGCACATGCGTTGTTGTTCCCGTTATCAGGCCGCATGCAGAAATACACGCGCGACATGGTGCAAAGAATTTCGGCGCGGGCCGTTGCGTAACGTCGCGCACGCGAAGATCGAAGCTTGGAGGACGTGTTTACGACACGGCCGCAACGCCGCGCCGTCATCGACTCATCGAGCGAGCGAGAGCACGGCTGTTACTGAATGAGCGAGTAGAGATAACGCGCACGAGCACTCTCGGCTCGGTCGCGCGTATCTATTTAGATATTTTTCATAGTCGGGGACTATATTTGGGAAGTGAACAACAACGCCGTCATAGCGAAGGTTACCGATAATAAGCGATAGTTTGCCTTGACGGCGCGGCGCCATGCGCCACAACGGTGCAAAAGAAGAGTCTGAAGAGTTGCCATTTATAATGTTTCTTATGCAATACGTAAGTCATTTCTATAAAAACAATGGAATGCTTAATGGTTATTCGTATTTAAGTGTTATTAGATCTTATTGGATATATCTATACGTTTTATCTATAATAAAACCATTGCCTTTCTAATGTTACCATCCGCACTATTTATACACTGCCTACGTTAGTCGAGATTGCAAATATTGCCATTTCGACGGGATTACGTGAGGGTTTAATAATGAGGATTGCCGGCGGCGTGACTACCGGCTCACGAAACTTGCAAATAAAACGTGCGTAGTTACGTAACAGTGCAATGCACTCTTCGCGGGCAATCTATTCATATTCCAAGGCTAGCCGGTAGAGCTCTTTGGGAGTTAGGGTTTTCGGCGAAGCCTCTTACGACGGTCATCGTTCCCCTACTACGCAATAATAATTCGGAGCCTCGTGTACGTGCACCGTGACCGAATGCGTGTAATACATAACGTGAGTGAAGCCCGGCAATTACGGCTTAACTCAATGTCAATCGCGATGTCAGCGACCGATAATGTCTGAAAATAAGTTACCGCGATATTTATCAAAAGACAGCTTCAGAAAAATGAACTTAATACTATAGGGGAGGGAGGGATCAAATTCCTCCTCCCTCTCCCTAGGACTAACTCGGCATAACAAATATAATAAATGTGAAGCGTCGTCTAAAATGGCGGCAGGAGTATACAGTAAGACGTAATGAGTAATTGTAAAAATCCCATTAGTCAATAAGACTAATGGGATTTTTACAATTCAAGAATAATCGACTGTGGTTGGTCAATAACTTACTGCTTACGTCTTACTGCATACTCCTGCTGTCGTTGTAGACGACGCTTAACGTCATAGAAGAGATTTCTAATTTTGGATAAAATGGGGATTCTCTCGATTGACTTTTCGCATCAAAAAAAGATTATATTATGAGCAACAAGTCCTCTCGATCGCACGATCGGGTCGAAAAATCACGAAGCGCAAAGTTCCGTCTCCGCGATTGCCGCGGGATATCGATAGCGCGGTGCGCTCGCGGGATCCAAATTTCGCGAGCAGATAAGAGCGGTTGTCGATTTGATTAGAACAGAGACAAAAACTCTAATATAGAGGAAGGCGGCCAAGGGAAGGGAACGGCGGTCAATGCCCCGTCAAGGTCGACAATGCAGAGTGTGCTAGCGAGCGAATATATATGTTTTGCCGTATCGGCTCGGCTCGGCTCGGCTCAGCTCGTTTCAGCTTCGCCCGTACGAAAAATTGACAGGCCAATCGTGGTTGAAGCTTCCTCTAGGCCCGGCCAATGGCCGCGTGAGACCAAGGCCGTCTTCTTCGCACATAGCCCAAGTTCGGTGCACACAGCACGGCGAAAAGCGGTGCCGAGAGAAAAAAAAAAGATATGGGGGGACTATGAGGGATCCGCGAGGGGGAGAGAAGGGACCGCGCGCACCACACACGCATCGCGGCGAACGGGCAAGAAACGACACGTGGAGAGACGACCGTGAATCTCGAGGTTGCCCCCGCGATAAATCGGCGAGTACGCGTGTTGTGTACGTGTGTATATGTATGGCGTTTGACATATACGCGCGTCTCGAGCGTAGGAAGAGCGCTGGGGACGCGGAAAATAGACGCCCGCCGGCTTTGTCCGTGAATGTTAAATCACGCGCGGCTCCTCTCCCAGCAGTCCCAGCTTCTCTCTCTCTCTCGCGACTCGAAGCTTTGGACACTGCGCCGTGCGCGCGCAATCTTTGTTCTACGAAAATTCATGCGAGAGAGGATCCGATTTCGTGAGAAATCGTCACCGGAAGAAAGGCGCATGAGAACGCATCCTAATTCAGTATACCAAGGATTCTTTCAAAGAATATACCATTCAATTAACTTAAAAGATAATGAAACACATTCTTTTCTCAATTAAGGTATTATCTCCTGAAGTAATCGTCTTCCGAATGTAAAATGTAACTATATTGGATAATTATATGTTCGCCTTCTTTGCCGATGCGATTTTCGACGAGGTTGTACCGCGGAAGATGACACTTGGCGAGGAGCGCATCGTGCGGAACACGAATGGCGAATAATACTATACACATATACGCACACGAGCGTCGAGTACAAAGCGCTTCTAATTCCGGTCATTCGTCTAATTCACGGTCATGAGCATTCGCTCGCGCATCGCGCGCACATCCGTCGCCCGAGCGTGTAAATGCACGCAGCACGTTACCGCGCGTTGCGTAATATTCGCCGATGTCGTTGACCCATTTTCGATGAACGATTTCGAGTTCGATCCGGGGGATTTATCAGCGCGCGTGCCCGCAAACTTCTTACGCACGACTCGCGTAATGTATGCATATTCGTTTCTCACGTCGCCTGATGTTATTACAACCGCCGCGAGAGCGTTATCGCGCGCGGAGCATCGATTCCTTTCGATTCCGCGCCTCTCTCGGCGT